CCCGCCGGGCTCAGGCTCGGGGCCGCGGACAGCTCTGCACTCCCAGGTGGCGCCAAGCTGCGAAGGTGAGCGTGGCGCCTGAGAGGGGCCCTGTCCCCACGTCTGTTCTGGGGGGTGGTCAACTCCCTCTTGGTCATCCTCTGGCGGGGCCTCCCTGGCACCGGGGGCCGGGCTTCCCGCTTCCCCACCTGCCAGCCTTGCTGTGTCGGGGTCCTGGCCCGGAGGCCGGGGCTACTGGATCTATTTTGGACCCTCCTCCGCCCCCTCCCCTCCCCGGGCACCCTCCACTTTTCCCGGTGTTGGCCGTCTGACCCTCTTCTGACACCTGCGTCTCTTCCTTGTGATCCCGAATTTGCGTCTGTTTCCTTCAAGCTAGAAAAGGTCTGCAGTTTCCAGAAGAGCGGACCCGCCTTCTTTGGACCGAGGTGGGGCAAGAGGAGCTGACCTGTGCCCTGTCCTGGGGGCCCAGCCTTGGCGAATGGCAGCGCCCCCACTCGGCCGTCTGGTGCTGACCCACCTGTTGGTAGCCCTCTTCGGCATGGGCTCCTGGGCTGCCGTGAACGGGATCTGGGTGGAGCTGCCCGTGGTGGTGAAAGACCTCCCCGAGGGTGAGTGAGAGTTGCAGGCAAGAAGCCCGGGCCAGGCGGCCCGGGAGCCGGGCTGCAGCCGCGTTGCCTCTGATGTGGCCCCTCCCTTCCCGGCAGGTTGGAGCCTCCCCTCGTACCTCTCTGTGCTGGTGGCGCTGGGGAACCTGGGGCTGCTGGTGGTGACGCTGTGGAGACGACTGTCCCCAGGCAAGGGCGAGCGGGCCCCCATCCAGGTGGTGCAGGCACTGAGTGTGGCGGGCACTGCCCTGCTGGCCCCCCTGTGGCAGCAGGTGGCCCCCGTGGCCGGGCAGGATCACTCCGTGGCCTTCCTGACGCTGGCCTTGGTGCTGGCGCTGGCCTGCTGTGCCTCTAACGTCACTTTCCTGCCCTTCCTGAGCCACCTGCCGCCTCCCTTTCTGCGGTCCTTCTTCCTGGGTCAGGGCCTGAGTGCCCTGCTGCCCTGCGTGCTGGCCCTCGCGCAGGGGGTGGGCCGCCTCCAGTGCCCACCAGCCCCCACCAACGGCACCCCGGGGCCTCCCCACTACTTCCCGGAGCGTTTTTCCGCCAGCACGTTCTTCTGGACGCTGGCTGCCCTTCTGGTCATTTCGGCTGCCGCCTTCCAGGGTCTTCTGCTGCTGCTGCCGTTACCACCGTCCGTGCCCACAGAAGGCCTGGGGCCTGGCTGTCGGGTGGGAGCCCCAGGAGTGGAGGAGGAGGCGGAGGGAGAGGCCTCACCACTGCAGGAGCCACCTTTCCAGGTGGCAGGCACCACGCCCGGCCGAGACCCTGAGGCCCAACGACTGCTCTCTGCCCGCAGTGCCTGCCTGCTGGGCCTGCTGGCCGTCACCAATGCACTGACCAATGGCGTGCTGCCAGCTGTGCAGAGCTTCTCCTGTTTGCCCTATGGGCGCCTGGCCTACCACCTGGCCGCGGTGCTGGGCAGTGCCGCCAACCCCCTCGCCTGCTTCCTGGCCATGGGCGTGCTGTGCAGGTGCACAAGGGGCCTTAAGCCACTGGGGTTGGAACCTCGGGATGGGAACCCCGGCCAGGAACAGCCAGTCCTGACTTCCTGCTTACCCCTGGCAGGTCTCTGGCCGGGCTGGGCGGTTTCTCTCTGCTGGGCCTGCTCTTTGGGGGCTACCTGATGGCGCTGGCCATCCTGAGCCCCTGCCCACCCCTCGTGGGCACGACTGCAGGGACGGTCCTTGTGGTAAGCGCACGGGACACTGGAGCAAAGAGGGTGGCAGGGGGAGGTTTGCCCCGAGCCGGCGGCTCTATGCTCAGTCTGCTGCTGTGTCTCACCCTAGGTGCTGTCGTGGGTGCTGTGTCTGGGGCTGTTCTCCTATGTGAAGGTGGCTGCCAGCTCCCTGCTGCATGGGGGCGGGCGGCCAGCATTGCTGGCAGTTGGTGTGGCCATCCAGGTGGGCTCCCTGCTTGGTGCTGTCGCCATGTTCCCTCCGACCAGCATCTACCACGTGTTCCGCAGCGGGAAGGACTGTGTGGACCTGTGTGGACCCTGAAGCTGGGCAGGTGGGGCTCTCACTCCATCCCACCTGTGGTCAGGCTGGGGCTGCTACTGTGCCTGATGCCCACGGTCCAGGGAGGCCCTCCCCACGCCGGGCATGAACATGGACACCTGCACACTCCACAGGAGAGCCTGGCACCTCAGGCCAGGCTGGGGACCACAGAGCAGGCCCAAGTCAGGTCCCGACTGGCGCTGTGGACGGGGCTTGGGCCTGGGCCCTGTGTGGGGTTTGCACAGTAAAGCATTTTTTTTTCTGAGTCAGACTTGTTAACCCCAGGAGCACCTTGTCCTGTGCAGACAGACTTCCCCCGGCCACAGTCATGGTCTGGCTGTTCCTAGGTGCCTGCCACCCCCACGCTGTTCTCATATTCCTGGGGTTATGGCCTCTGAGCCAGGACTCCTGCCCCCGACACCTTGCTTCTTGGACTCCCCCGGCCCCCTGAGAACTGCCCAGAGGGAGGGCAAAGGCCAGCTTCCAGGGCCTGGAGTCTGGGCCAAGGACCCACACAGGCAGCGTGGTGCCCACCAGTGTCAGCCCGCTGGGATCGCAGCTACATGGTGGGGCCTCTTCCCAGCTGGGCCGCTGCTCCACAAGCACCTGCAGGCCTGTGGTGGCCGAGCCAGCCAGGCACAATGGACAGGATGGGCTGGCCCTGCTTTGGGACCTGGGCGCGGCCCACTCGCCCGCTGCTCGAGGGGTTTGACGCCAGGGCTTTGTTGCAAGGTCCAGGCACAGGAGGGGCTCAGTGCGTCGGACTTCTGGGGCCTTGGTGTAAGGTTCCCGCCCGTCGGGACCTTTCTGCTCAAGAACACTGACCCCTCCCCCGAGCCACCAGCCTCGTTTCTGGCTCCTTCTGTGATCAAAGCCCCCAGCGCCTTAGTATTCAGGCGGACCAGCATCACCTCCTTCCTGAGCAGCGCACTGCCTGGGAACCGGGACCGGCACCTGCAGGGGTGGGACCTCTGTACCAGATCGGTCTGTCCAGGACTAGGCGGTTCTCCCACCGGCTGGAGTGAGCGCCTGAGCCAGGACAGAGGGCTTGCAGGGGTTGCAGAGGGTGTGCTGATGGGGCTGCGGGGGGGGGGGGGGCAGGACAGACGAGGGCCCACCTCTGCAAGGAGCCCTGCAGCCACTAGGCGCGGGGAGTGGGTGCTGGGAGATACAGCTCCTTGACTCAGCCTGTGTGGGGGCCTCTGAGGGCCTCAGCTGCCTCCTCCCTCATCCCCTTCAACCGCCACCCGCCACCCGCCTAGGCAGGACCAGCTGAGCATGAGGGCCTCCCTGTGGGAGGGAGGGGCCCCATGCCTGGACGGTGGAGCCTCTGGTCTGGAGTTCCATCCGGCACCGAGGGTGGGCTCCCAAGTGGCTCAGACACAGCCCAGCCCTAAGGGCAGGAGGCCACCCGCCAGGCCCCAGCCTTCCTTCCGGGGGTGGAGCAGGGGCACATGCCTGGCTGCTGGCCTTTGGGAGGCGGGGGCTTTGGTGGTGGTGAGTGAAGATTTAGGGGGAGGAAGATGGGGGCCTCACACCGACAGCTCCCCTCTCCTGCTTCCCTGGAGCTGGAGGTGGGGGTTTGAGGAAGCCACCGCCCTTTGAAGTCTGCAGGGCCTTCCGGTCATTGGTCAGTGCCCATAGGAAACAGGACAGGGGCCAAAATACCAAGGGGAGGAGACGCTGCAGGGCCAAGTCCTGAGAGCCACCTGACATATCCATTCCTTGTGGCTGCCCAGAGCCAAGGCCCCCGGCCAGGGAGGCAGGGCAGCCCCCATGCCAGGACCTTCAGAGCTGGGCCCTGCCCCAGTGCCTGTCCCAGAACACAAACCTCCAGCTGGACAGCAGGTGTCAGCGGCTCTGAAGCTCCCAGCTCTGCCCAAAAGCCTCTCAGGCCTGGGGCTGGGGCATTAGAAGGAGACTCTGGAGGGCAGCCCCCTGGGGGACAGTGGAGCCTGAGCCACCAGGGCCACTGCTGTCCTTCCACCACCAGGAGCAGGCCCTTCAGTTCCTCAAAACCAGACCAGCAGCCAGGGCCTGGACGGGCACCTCCTTTCCTGCGTGGCCACTGCAGCTGGGGCTGCGGTGAGTCCCGGGACAGGGCTCCTGCTCCGGCGACTGACTGAAGGTGGGGCCTGCCTTTAGCACAGGAGCCGCACAGGCTGCCAACGCCGCATCCACTGAGCAACACCAGCCAGGAATGTGGTTAAAAAATTATATATACATATTGATTTCAGCGAGGAAGGGAGAGGGAGACAGACAGAAACATTGGTGATTAGAATAATTGATTGGCTGCCTCCTGCACGCCCCCAACTGGGGATCAAGCCTGCAACCTGGGCATGTGCCCTGACAGGGAATCCAACTGTGACTTCCTGGTTCACAGGTCGATGCTCAACCACTGGGCCAGGCCAGCCGGGCCCCCTTCCATTTATACATATGCAGATAAATTTGGCCCAGGGGAGATTCAAATGTGCTTCGTTTTTTCCCAGTGGAAAGAACAAGTCTCCATCTTTATAAAATTCATTTCTGCCTTCCTTCACTCCATATAAATCTGTGGTTCTGAACTTCTCTTTTGAACTTGTAACTACATTTCTGGCTCTCTCATTAGTTAGTGACTTAAACCTTTGGCACACTGTACTAGTTTTTAACAAAATATTAAATTGGTTGAGGTGACATTGGTCAACATGAGCGTATAGGTTTCAGGTGTGGGTTTCTATGTTTACAAGCTCTGTCTATTGCACTGCGTGCCCACCACCCAAAGTCAAATCTTTCCCTGTCACCTTATATTAGGAGCACTGTGTTAGTTTTTGAGCTGCTGCTGGAACACATCAGCAGGGACTTGGTGGCTTCCAATGACCACGGTTCATTTTGCCGTGAGCCAGAGGTTGGAGGTCAGAAATCAAAGTGGCGGCAGGGCTAGTTCCTCCGGAGGCTCGCAGGGAGCAGCGTCCAGGCCCGTTTCCGGCTCCTGTGGCTGCCAGCAATTCTTGACATTTCTTGGCTGGTGGCCACATCTCTGCCGCCTCTGCCTGTCTTTATAGGGGCTTTTCCCCTGTGTCTCCGACCTCCTTCTCCGCCTCAGGACACCAGTCATTGGGTTCAGGGCCCATCGCATCCAGGATGGTCTCATGGACCTTAATTACATCGGTAACGGCCCTATTTCCAAGGAAAGTCACAGGACAGATTCTGGAGCTTAGAACGTGGACACATCACTCATATCTGCGTGAGAGTCATGCTTAATACACACTTCCTCTTTTTTCTTTCTTTTTTGGTTTATTTATTTTGGAGCAATTTAAAAAAACTATTGTTTAAAGTATTACATCTCTTTTTCCCCCCATTGACCTCTCCCCAGCCACCCCCACCCCCAGCACGTGCCCTCACCCGTCTAGTGTCTGTGTCCACTGGTTATGCTTATATGCGTGCATACAAGTCCTTCGGCTGATCTCTTACTCCCCCCGCCCGCCTTCCCTCTGTTCAATGCTTCTCTGTCTCTGTATCTATTTTTTTAATAAATTGTTATTGATTTCGGAGAGGAAGGAAGAAGGAGAAAGAGAGAGAAACATCCACGATGAGAGAGAATCATGGGTCAGCTGCCTCCTGCAAGTCCCCACTGGGGATCGAGCCCACAACCCGGGCCTGTGCCCTGGACCGGAATCGAACCCGGGACCTTTCAGTTCACAGGCCTGGTTCCGCGGCGAGGAGACCGAGCTGTG